CAAGGAGGAGGAGGAGGAGGAATTATAATAAGCAATGGCAGTGCCGTTGCCACTGGACGAACGCTTTCTCCGTGGCCAGTGTGTGACCCACGATGACATCCTTTTGATTTTACTTCGTTTCTTATCTTTAAAGACTTAAAAAAAAGAATAAAAAAAAAATAAAAAAAAAAAAGAAGAAATAAAAAAAGGAAGAAACTTTTTCTCTCTTTCTCTTTTTTTCTTTTCACAATTCTTTACACAAGAATGTGCATCGTGTATTGGTATTTTTTTTGTTTTATTTTTCTTTTTTTTAAAAACATTTATTTTATCGCACGCCAAAGTGTCACCAGTCCATATCCCATAGATAAGATTTTATAATTATAAATTATACCTAGTATAGATAGTATAGTTAGTATAATTTATCGTAATATAGTTTAATACGACATATTATGACTAATAATATATTACTAATATTCTAATTAAGCAATACCAATTGTAAATATATATTGTGCCATAACACTAGTATATTATTATTATACTGACTGTACTATACTTATACCGGAATAGTATAATCGCATATTGTACTCTATTATTAAATAGGATAGGCTGAAAGAGCCCTTGGATGGGCCAAAAGTTCTTAATAGATAATTATTACAAATCAATTAATATTATTCGAAATTACTTAAGCTTAAAACTAAATGTTTAAAAAATTTCCAAAGAATTTATTATAAATTTTTCATCATATATATATGTAAAATATTTTTTTAGAATACCAAGAAAAATTGGATTATAAAGAGTTACCGATTTACGAGGATTCTTTTTCTTTTTTCCGTATGCAAATTCACAGGTGAATGACAAACGAGTCTCGCGCGGTCGATCATAAATACATACATGCAGCAAACGTGCATGCATTCATGCATGCATGCATATATATATATATATATATATACAATACAACGGTGAAAAAGAAATAACGATTCTTCTTCTAATGAAATGCTTTCCGGGAGCTCGATGTAAAAACCGAATATGCCATTGCTGATCGGCGAAGTATGGAAAATGACCGACGAAAAGAGAGGAAGAAAGATAGAATGGAAGAATGAAAGAGGGATAGAAAAAGAGAGAGAGAAAGAGAGAGAGAGAGAGAAAGAGAGAAGGAAAGAGAGACCCTTCACGTTCGCGGAACGTTAACGTGCCGTGACGTTGCCCCGTTAGACACACTCCGGCCAAACTCGGCCCGCACTTTAACTCGGATCGTGAACTTTCTTCTTTCCCGCTCTTTTGTATCTCGAACGGATTCTCACCGTAACAATCCAGATCCTCTAAACGAGAATTATATACCTTTTCTCTCATTTACTCTTTCCTTCTTTGCATTTTCTTATTTATCTCACTCTCTCACCCATCTCTCTCTCTCTCCCTCTCTTTCTCTCTCTCTCTCTCTCTCTTTTCCTTTTTCTCTGTCGATTGTTCATCTCTAAAGAAAATTTACAAAAGATATTGTCCCATTGAATATAATTTCATTCTCTTTCTCTCTCTTTCTCAAAACTATATCAATAATATTGGGGATTGATTAATATAAATCATGTGTATCGGTCTTTTCAATATTTTATATTGAAATAAATTAAAAAATAATATAGTATTAGTATAAACAATACTATAATGTATGGTTTACCTCTAGTATAATGTTAATAAATAATATCATAATTTTTTTATATACTAAAAATGCTTTTCTATATGCTAATAATTTTTCTAAATACTAAAAATGCCAATAGATTAATTATTGACCAGCCAAATATACAATATTTTATATGTATATAGATAATTAATGGCGCAAAAAAAGATCTTTTTCCGATAAAATTTAAACGCTCGATATTTACAATCAAACACCATAAAAATAATCGATTAACAGATACCAACGGAACATGATCACAGTATCGATAATATCAACGTTTCTTTTTTTTAATAGTTAACCTTTGGCTCCTTTAGTCGAGAAACATGGAAACAATGCACTCGAAATAACGAATAACTCTCATATCTAAGATAGAATTAGACATTTATAGGAAAGGTGTGCCGGTCACGCACAAAAGAGATTCAACTCTTCTCCTTCTCTTACTTCTTAACTTACTACCCCCCACCCTCTCTCTCTCTCTCTCTCTTCTTCCCTTTCTTTCTCTACACTAGCGAGAAAGAAATTTTTCAAACGTCCATCTCCCTGCCGTCTCTACGTCGAGAAAGCCATAACATCTTTTTCCCTCGTCAGTCGTAAAAATCGCGCATTGTGTTTGGCTGCAAGCGGAAAGATGCCCGTTTCCATCGGCATTGTTTTCTGCTTCCGAGGATCGTTCACTGCTTAGGGGATCCTCTCTCAAGATGTTCTCTCGAGTAAAAGAGAAAAAGAAAGAGTGAGAGAGAGAGAGAGACAGGGAGATGAAAAAAGAAAAACGGAGAGAGTGAGATATTTTTCATCGATCATAGTTACAGACTTAAAGATTAACTATTGTAGATGCAATGATTTTCCAAATAATCAGATAAAAATAATAGTGATAAATACAGAATACATTCAAAGATTACAAATGAACCTAAAGTCAGATAAATCAGATCATAAAAAAAAGATAAAAATCAGATAATTACGAAAATTAATTACTCTGCTTAAGAAAATTTGTTAAGCTTCCATTATAGTTACGCGATCTAAGGTGATAATTTTACAATCAAAAGAAACATAACAAAAAAAAAAGGAAAAGAAAAAAAAATTAGAAGAGTTGGGGAAAAAAGGAGGGAAAAGGATTTTTAAAATTATCCAAAAACTTATAGAACATTCAAAAAATTTTTACCTATCCCTATTATCTCATATTTAAACGTATGTATACAATTCGATCGAAAGTTATTAATTTTTGTTTTATTTTCGTAATACGACCGACGACGAATCAGTGTTTCGAAGATTGCCTATCAATTTTCTTATTTCTTATATTAATTTGCTATAATTAAAAAAGATATATTTATTTATTTATTTATTTACTTATTTATTTATTTATTTATTTTAATAATTTTCCATCGTACTTACATTTTCGTAAACTTTTTTTTTTTTTTTTTTTTTAATACGACTATTAGATATTAGAAAAGATAATCGAATGAACGAAGAAGAGGATAAGTCTGATAGGTTCGTATAGAACGACGACGAGGACGGTGGTATCTTTAAAAGGCGTAAAAGGGGAAGGGGGAAGGGAAAAAAAGGAGAGAGAAAAAAAAAAGAAAAGATGCTGAGAAATCGAGCATGCCTTTTACGCAGAGGCGATAGTATCCCAGCTTCTACTTGCCGCGTGTAAGTACGAGACGAAGAGAATCGAGACTTCACACGCACATATACACACACACACACAATAAACAACGATCTACGAAGATTGGGAAAAGAAGGAGAAAAAAAAAGAGAAGGACGACGACGTAGACGATAACACAACTGGGAAAGACTATAAAGAGAAAGAGAAGGAGAGACAGACAGAGAGAGAGAGAAAGAGAGAGAGAGAGGAGAAGTTTATTGTTTATAACCAAGCACGAGAAGTATTTATTTGGACTCTTGACTCTATAAAAATTTTGTATATTATATATGTATATATATATTTTATTCCAATTATGTATATTATATATGTATATTATATACGTTCTTTTGTATATTAAATATATATATATATATATATGTATATTTTAATTATTATTAATATATTTATAATTAATATTATATCATCGTATATCAATATATAATAATTGTACACTATTATAATATAATATTATTATGTTATATCATAAAAGATACTATTTTTTTATACATCATAACAATATAATATTATATCAATATAATAGTATACAGTATAATGTAATAATAGTATTACATAATATTTAATTAGAGATAGAGAAAGAAAAAGAGAGATTATAATTTATATATATATATATATATATATACACATACACACACACACACATATATATATATATATATAAAGAATAGAAAAAGAAACAAAGAAGAAAGAAAAAAAAACAATTACGTATAATTTATGACTAAAATTGGTAAATTCGAATTCCGTTCAACTACTAAATGCGAAGATTATGAAACTCTCTTCCATAGTCTTTCTGTCTTTCTCTTTCTCTCTCTCTCTCTTTCTCTCTCTCTCTCTCTCTCTCTCTCTCTCCCCCTCTCTTTTTCTCTCTCTCCCTATACGCACACGATATGTCTTTCGAAATGATAAAACTTCCTGACTTTCATTTACCAAACTACTCTTGGTTTAGACTTATCTATACGTCGATATAACACACACCTGCCTTTTTTACATACGCGGAAACATAGGTGAAACTTAGAAACAATTGGAAATAGGGCGTGCAGCTCGCTTCACGTCTCAGCAACTAGAAAGACACATGAATCCACAGAATGGTTTGAGTGAAAGATTTCAATGTTAAAAAGAAAGGAAAATATCTTCTTTCTCCTATCGTTCCTACTTCCTACATATCAAATATTCTTCAAAACTTTCTAATATATACAAAGTATGAATAATTATATTGAACGAAATACATACATTACGTACGTACACACACACACACACACACACATATATATAAGAAACAAAATATTAATTTTCAGTAATTAGATTTAAAGGGTTATAATGAAAAAAAATTAATGAGATAATTTAATGCAATAAAAACAAAATTTTAAAGCGAAATGAAAATAACATTTAAAAACAAAAAGAAACGGGAAAAGGAAAGGAAACGTTAAAAAGAAAAAAGAAAGAAAAGAAAAAAGAAAAGATTGATTGCGCAAAAAAATTGTGTAAGAAAAAGATTCGAACGGGGAACCGGGCCGATTGTCGCGCCACCAACATCGAAATTCAAAAGATTTCGAAGCTCGGACGAAGTTTGGCGGGCCGTACGAAAGAGAAGAGTCGTATAGTAAAGGAAATACTATACATACATACATACATAAATATGTCTTAACATATGACGTTTCGCGTGTAAAACATTGTTAAATGGTTTCCACTCACCGATGATCACGTTCTCTTTCCCACGTTTTTCCAAGAAGCACCTTCCAAGAATCCCAGTCCCACAGATTATTTTCAACCTCAAAGCTGAAACTCGAATGCTGAAGAGTTGAACAAACAGAGAAGTTTTTCTATTTGGGCCGAAGCTTTTTCGTAGTTCCTTCTCTCTCTCCCTCTTCTTTTCGACAAAAGTAGTTCCTTGATAAACACACACTCTCTCTCGTTGGATATGCCTCGTCGAATCGATTTTAACCTCCAATCGATTTTCTTTCTTTTTTTTTTCCACTTTGTAATAATGACAGCTCTTTTCTTCCACCCTCTCTCTCTCTCTCTTTCTTTCTCTCTCTCTCTGACAAGAAATTTCTTCTTAATTTAAATAGATTTCCTTCATTCGTACACTACGATTCTTCTCATCGATACGACGTAAATATAACATTCGTTGACAATCACTTTTCGGAACACGCATTTCGCGGAAAGACGATCGGCATTGATCGGGCTCGATCGGATTATTTCGTAGGAAAATGAAGAGACACGATTAAACGAACGAAAAGAAAAACAAAGAGAGAGAGAGAGAGAGAGAGAGAGAGAGAGAGAGAGAGAGAGAGAGAGAGAGAGAGAGAGAGAGGAAGGAAGACAGAAAGAGAGAAAAAGAGAGAGAGAAAGAGAGAAACAGTGAAAAAAATGTAATAACACGAAAAGTCACGATCGTAATGACACGTGATAAATAATTCTTCGAATAATGTCACTATATTAAACCGACAATGTCTCGTACGCGTGCTGACAAAACAGACAAGCGATGTTTACATAGTACGAAAACAGAGATCGAATGAGAGACAAGAAGCACTGCGCGGAGTTACCGAGTCGGTGTCTCGAGAGCAAGTGCGAGTGGCGCGCTCGATGCTTCTCGTAATCGAGATCGCGAGCCCTCTCTCTCTCTCTCTCTCTTTCTCTCTCTTATTCTTTCTCCCACTCTTTCTCTCTTCCTCTTTCTCTTTCTCTCTCTCTTTGACACGATCGTCTATCTCACTCACACATCACATTTTACCCCCCACCGAACGTGAAACGGTGTAACTCTTTCTATTTCTTTTCTATCTTTCGTTCCTTTCGATCGTTTCCTCTTCATTTTTCCAACCAATTAAAACTTTCCATCAAATTTATGTGCCTTCGATTCAACTAATCTCGTTTTATACGCACATATATTATTATAATATATAATAATATACTAAGTAATTATAATATGATAATTATAATAAGTAATTATCAATATATTATATTATTACATATCATAGTACATTATTAAACTACATATATATATATGTATGATATATAAATAATATGTAATAATATAATATATTATTAATATTATACGTACAAACGTACTAATGTTCGTATTTTAATATGGTAAAATAACATTTGTAAATAATTCTTAACATTATTTCGATCTTCTTTCGTCGATTCTTTGACGAAGAGGCAAAAAGGATGAATTATCGATAACGACGATCGAAGCACAATATGGCCGCTTCTTCTCGAACACGAACCTCCCCATTCTCTTTCCATTTCTTCCTTCTCCTCCTCATCATACTGATACTTCCCTCGACGGCAAATTTTCGGTGGACGATCGCAAAATTACGAAGCCTCCAGGCTTTCAAGCCCAACGATCCTTTCCTTTTTTCGTCGATGCACTTAGCCCCCACGCGAACCAATCACGATCCTTCTCAACAACGAAGGATAACGATTTGGTGGGACCACCAAGATCCTTTGTACGAGGGAGGGCCACTTTAACGAAAGCGGATATTACGTTCATCTTGAGCTGTAGAATTTTTCTCTCGTTTATTTTTCTCTTTTGTTTTGTTACTTCTTTTTTTTTTCGTCTTGTTTCAATTCCTTTCTCGGTATCGTACTACAAGTCGTTCTCTTCGACAAATAAGAAATAAAAATCGTTCCTCTTAAGACAGCTTTCTTTCTTTCTTTCTTTTTTATTTTCTTTCTTTTTTTTTCCCCTTTGTCATTCGACAAAATATCAAAATGAAGATATTAAATACTCGTCAATTAAATAAAACGTTACGAATATTCATACGCGTAACGATTTTAGCGACATCTAAAACGTGAGGATTTGAAAAAAAGCGGGAAATTATGATCATTTAATTATTATTATTATTATTATATTTATTAATAATTTATTATGCGATTATTAAGCGTCATATTTAACGGCGTTTAAGTGCAAAATTTATAAATCTCGTCGAAAGTTCCCGAAACCTTTCCCATTCACGTGGATGAAACTTTGCGGGTCTGATGAACCGAGTTGATAACGTGCAATAATGGATAAAGAAACGAACGAAGGAATAAAGGGGGAAACAATGAAAAGTGAAGAAACTCGCGTTATACCGTTCCATTACTGTTAGAAAATGTTAGATCGTATAGAACGTGTGTTCTTCGAAGCATGCATATATATATATATATATATATATATATATATATATACAAACATACATTATGATAAAATATAGATTTTGTAAACATTCAATCGAGAAATTCTAAAGATTTGCTCCGCTACACCGTCTATAATGTATTACTAAATGCACATTGAAATTACAATGCCTACTATGCTCAAAAGAGTACCGTTATACAATTTTCGTAGATAAAAATAGAATCGTTTGATATATCGATGCGTTGAAAAAAAACAAAAAATAATAAATAAATAAAAAAGAAAGAAAAAAGAAAGGAAGGAACAAAATTTTCTGACACGTGAAAAATAATGAAAGGATTATCGAATATCATTAATTTATAAAGTTATTAAAAATTACGAAAGTAAACACGCATTTATTGATAAGTGGAATTAAGTTTAAAAATTTTTCGAAAGTACATACATACATACTTGTATGTACTTCTAACCTTAATTTTTCTACCAACTTAATAAATCCGCTTTCTCATCGAATAACACACTTTAGCTTCCAACTTGTCCGCGAATGAAGAATTTGTTTTTGTGATTTATATTCGCGATCCTTAGGTTAAGCATTCGTTGGAATGTTATCCATATGCGAACTGCGACAATCGCAATCAATCTAAGAGCCAAGCGTGTACCACTTTCCAAACGGAAGATGATACAGGATATAAAACCAGTCGGTCTTCGTTGTACTATATTACCGACGATTATATCCTACGTTATAATACTTGAAGTATCTTATTACGTTATTTCCTTATTAAAAGATTTGCGAAGATATGAACGAATCTATACTGAAGCAATGTTATACGAGGGACAGGAATTAAAATCAGATAAAGAACTGATGAACATTAATTTTCCCTTATACTCTGTGAAAAGATATAACATTGACGATACGTATGATTGAGTAATTAATTAAAGTAAGAAATTCTTATCGAAATTTGCATCGTTCTGAAGTATTAAAACTCGACTTGATAGTCAATTACGACCAACAAAGAATCAAAATATATTTGATAATTAAAACGACAATATAGAACGATAATTCTAATTGACAAGATGAATAATTTATACTATTAGTATTTACGCTAAATTTGCTAAAATTGTCTCGTTTCAAACTTTAAATTAATCTATCCTATTCAACTATTTACATATTGGCGAATCAAAGAGATGAAAATAACAGTGAATATTGTAATAATTATAATTTAAATTTATTGTTACACATACTACTTTGAATATATGTATAAAGTATTATTCTATATACAGTTGTCTATAAATTCAATCAAGATTTACTTATGCGGTGGCCAATTCCATTGATTGACCGGAGCTTCTTCAATTAAATTTTCCCATGGTTTCCATATTTTCATTCTATTTATTAATGTTACTTCCAATTTAGCTTGATCGATAACTTCTTCAATGTATTTGACACCTAATTTTTCTGCTGCAACTTCTTTATTTGGATTCTATAACAAAGCAATATAATATGCATCAAAACGATAACATATAAAATGTTTTGTGTGTGATAACTGTTTTATCATTTGGCACAGTAATATATTACTTTATATAATACTTTAATCGAGGTAATTATTTAATCGTTGAAGTATAAAGGAAAATAATATATTACTTGTGTTAAAATATCCATTCGTTCTTTGACAATCTGCTCTGTACATTGTCGATATGCATAATTCTCTGGAAAAGTTTTCAATCCACTTAATATTTTATTGTTAAGAACTTCCAAAATACTATAAGGATTGCTAATTTGTTTTAGACCTGTCAAAGTAACCTACAAAAGATACAAATTTACTTACTTATTTAACTTTTTCTAATTACGATATAATCATAAAAACTAAAATCATATATATATATATGTACATATGCATATTGTACGTTAACAAAGATGTAATATTTATAAGATATGAAATATTAAAAAGTAATATATTCTCTATTTATTACATAATTTACCTTTTTAAAAGCTTCTGCCATCGTCTAGATTATAAATTTAAATTATAATTAATTATGTTTATACGACCTACTAGTGTTCACACGTTGTAGGTTATGCAGAGACTATGGGTCAAGTTCTGAAGATAGAAACAGCTGAACATCAGTAGCGCCACGTTGCGGAGATAAATTTACTATCAATGTTTACTTAACCTGCTTATAAAATACTTGATTAAATATGTTAAACAAAACGTAACAAAATTTTATTAATTTTAATATTGTAGTATAGAGATTGTCAAAATACGAAAAAATTGTATAAATTTGTACTTTTATCTTATTAAAGTAATATCTCAGTTCCTTAAAAAATCTAAAGTAAAAAGAAAGAAATAATCTATTTTAAATATAGATAGGTTGGATTTTTTAAGAGATTGTTTTTGTTTTGTTTTTTAAACATAAGATTTATTTAAATGTATCATAAACGTATGGCGCTTATCGGTTGGATTTCGCAACACGTTCAAGTTCATCCTTCTTTTTTATCGCATATGAATTCGACGAGCCTTTCGCAGCATTGATCAATTCGTCGGCTAAACATTCTGCGATTGTTTTGATGTTACGGAATGCTGCTTCTCTCGCGCCAGTACACAATAACCAAATAGCTTGATTAACGCGACGTAATGGAGAAACGTCTACAGCTTGTCTCCTAACTGTACCAGCACGACCGATACGCGTGGAATCTTCCCTAGGTCCTGAATTGATGATGGCTGTTACGAGAACCTATAAAATCATAAGTATCTTTATAGAATGTGTACTTATACTCTGACAAATAATTAATAGGATAAAAATACAAAAAAAAACTTTAAATAAAAGTATTAATTCTATACCTGTAAAGGATTATCACCCGTAAGAAGGTGAATAATTTCGAAAGCATGTTTTACGATTCTAACAGCCATCAATTTTTTTCCATTATTTCTTCCGTGCATCATTAAAGAATTTGTAAGACGTTCCACAATAGGACACTGAGCTTTCCTAAAACGTTTGGCTGCATAACGTCCAGCTGAATGTGGAAGATATTTGGCGTTCTTCTCTTTTACAGCGATATAATCTTGTAAGGACATATCATTAACTTGTACATCATCACAATTCCAGCGACCGAACAATTTAATCTCCGGTAACTCTGCAGAAAGTGCAACTGGTAACGTGTTTGTGGTAGTAACCACATCATCAAATGTTTCCATATCTGGCATTATGTTTCTGAAAAAAAATATTGTAGGTTAAGAAAAGTAATTAATAATATGTATCGTTGCTGGTAATATAAAGTAAATCAAGCTAACAAAAACAATGGAAATAAGTTTTATTGTAAACGTCAGGAAGATGGATCAAATAGAATAGAAATATTTTATATAATATTATTAATATTAAATAGCAACGTTTAATTTAATTTTACAAAAGGATAAATGAAGTTTAATTGATATTCTTCACTGATATATATAAAATTCATTCACAATGTGAAAATATATTTTAAATAAGCACAATAATCATTCTGTTTGAGAAACACATTATCATTCAATTTACTAATTACGTTCATAGAAAATTCTTCATCGAAACAAATTCTATTAAAGTATTAATGAATTCTTAAAGAGAATGTTGTACGTGGAAACGAGGAAAACATGTCACCATGTGGTCTCGATTATGGTTAGATTGCTTATTAAACAATGAAGAGAAACATTCATGAGACACAAACATTCACACGTATTTTAGAAATATTCACGACCTTTCAAAGTCACAGTATCACATCTCACCGACATAAAGAAGGATCACAATATCGAATATCTAATCCTAGAACTTACGTTCGCGTCTCCGTTGGAGCAAGCGTGAACAGGAAAAGGCCATGAGACTCTCAGCGCCTTGGCCTGTGATTACCGGATTTTAACCAATCGAGTCAACGCTTTTCCGTAAATACAAAACATAAACTTTATAATACACATCATATTGCAAATCTCTATCGATTTAATTTAAATATTTCTAAGATACGATAAAAATTATATAAAGAAGAAAGATGATGGATAATGAAAATTTTGCGTGTGTTTAAACGGTTGAAAGATTTATTATGACTTCAGTGGTACTCCTTAAGTTCGTCACACGACCGTATAATCGGTACCGACCTAATTAATAATAAGTAAAAAGAACAACAAAACGAAATACGTAAATTGATTTATAATTGATTAATAAACGTCTCCTGTAATGAAAAATAAATATATACATTTGAATGAACGTTTTCATTTCTCTCATAATTTGTCTTTGGTCGCGTGTAGATCGGACTTAAGGAGCGCGCTAAAAGAAGGCACGCGATTGGTCGGCGATCGGCCATCTTGCTCGTTGTTTAGACCGTGCGAGAGGATTTCGTCGGAGGATGCGTGTTTATCGAGAATTCCAGTGATATCGGTTAGTAAAACTCGACGCGGCGACGTTTGGTCTACCGAGAAATGTGTGTTTAATTGTGTGTAAACCTTGTAAGTTTATTTGTAAGTTTTATTACTATTGTGTGTTGTGTGCTTTCGTATGTGTGTGAGATAGAAGTTTCTAAAGACGAGTGAAGAGGAATAATATCGGCTACGGTCAATTTGAAAGAGGAAGGATTGAGGGATTATTAGCAAGATGGCGCCAATGGTTTCTACTTGAAATGAGTGAATAGAAAAAAAATGGACATCTTTTGGCCGTTTGACAGTGTTTTGGAAGAGAGGATAAACAAACGATATGACCTATTCAACTTTGTTGCTACGATTTATGATTGATTCAACGACGAAAACAACGACGAACGTGAGTAACCCGAATATTTATACGTACAATCAATTATTGTGTCCATGCGAAATTTAATATTATTAAACTTTCTTTATCTTTTTTTATCTAACGAGTGAGTAAATGAATAAGTGAGAGAGAGAGAGAGAGAGAACGAGCTATAGACGATATTAAAAAAAAAAAAAAAGAAAAAAAAAATGTTTTATCTCCTTGAACCGATCGAAAACAGTATTTGAACGATCATTAATATATTATAATGTTATACTCGTTCAGAACGTTTACTATTATGTACATACATAAGATTACGATATTAAAATAAGCGCTATATAAAC